AATTAAAATTGAGATTAGGTGGTTTGGTTATGGTTGACTATAAATTGGTGGTTGTTATGACATGATGTAGCATGTGATTATTAGGCAGAGAGAGAAAAAAATAGGTACAAGTTTTTTCTTCTCACAATTATGTAGTTACTTAAACATGCTCTCATTGTGCCTCTTGTTTGGTAATCATCAAATGTTTGCTTTTACCAACCACAATGAGTAACAAAAATAAAAGCTTACAAATTCCTTTCAATCTCACAGTATTAAATCTGTAGCAGAGTAGAAGCAAATATTAGTGCATCATTTTATGGATTGACAGTATAGACCATGACATCATCTGTGTGAGGTCCTCTAACAGAGTATTGAAAAGTCCAACCGTGGCATGCGCCTGCGTGGGACCCGTTTGTATCGACCGCAAAAACAGCTCCCACAAAATTTGGGTATTTTCTTGCAATTCTAGCAATGGCATCCTGGGCTGCGAGCTTCGGTTCCATGCCCAATCTCATGCTCTCCACAACTTGATAGCTGGAAACAAATGACAGAAACCTAATTAAGGTACACATTTCACTCTTGAGGAGGATGTCACAAGCCTAATTAGGGCCCATGGGTATTTAAAGAAAGATAGAATTACAAAAACACCTTCGATGTTCAAAAAATTGTGAAAATCTCCCTGTCAAATGACTACTTCCCTTAAAAGAATGAATATTCTTCACCTAGTGAGGTTCAATCTTTAAACCTCGTGTTGGGGCTATTCGTAATAACTAAGTGTAAACGAGAGTTGGATTTTACTGAAATTGAGTTAAACCATAGAGTCTAAGGGTAGATCTTTTGTAATTGTTCTCTATGTCACTTAATCACCAACTTTTAGTTACTTCTATTTTCTTCTTTGCTTTCTTTTTTCCATGCTCAAGTTGTGAAGAACCTGAAGATATGAACTAACTATACAACGAAATTCATGCTATAAATACCAAGGAAGAAAGCGCATCATGATGTCACCATCCCCAGTGGCCCCACAAGCCCCAACGTCTGCATCAGCATATGCCGAAGATCCAGCAATAGGTCCATCTCCAACCCTGCAAGAATATAAAATCAGATAAATCAAGCAAGTTTTTTTTATGTAAACATGACATTCTGAATTCTATATCTAAGTTTTATAAGCCTACATTTAAAGTTTTCATTTTCCAAGGACAAAGGTATTCCAGAGGTAAAAACGATAGCTAAACATCCTGGTTGATGCCATCAAAACACAGCATTCATATTTTATAGGTTGTATTCAATTGCTTGCTTAATATATTGACCATAATGATGTCAAAGATACATTTTGTTTAAAATTTATGACCATGATCTTTGAACGTGACATCCCCTAAAAAATAATTCATCAATCTTCTAAAATGCTAGAAAATTCTTATTGTGATAACAAAGGGTTGTTATTACTATTCATGTTAAACGACATTAAAAAAAGAACAAAAAAATTACTAACTATTACCTGCCGGGAATTTTGAAAGTGGCCCCGTTAGTTGAGGTACCAACGGCTATGCATCCCATCTAATTTAACAAAACATTATTTAGAAACAAATTATTATCCAATCCATAGCAAACCAAACCCCAAAAAAAAAAAAAAAAAAAGGTGTCTTAAGATGGACCCAACCTTATCAATAACAGCCATTGATATTGTATCATGGTTATGGCGATCAACAACATACAGCCCACATCTATCGAGACCATCTCTTTTTGTACTCGAGCAAGTTCCCTCACCAAAACCCATCAAACCACCCTTTGGATTGTAGGGACCACAATCGTCAACTGGCACAACATTTTTCCTAAAGTTCGGCTGGCACTTGCTCTTTCTCCAGTTCATCCATTTTTCAATAGATTCTTGAGAGCTTAGATTTGTGGGGCCCGGAAGGCCCATCGAGACAGCAAACACAGATGCTTTCTCCCCCACGAGCATCGTATGTTCAGTGTGCTCCATTACTAATTTTGCGGCTTTAATGCCATTGGCAACATATCTCATAGCAGCAACAGATCCAACTTCCATTGATACCTATGCATGTCTTGGCAGATGCAGTGTAATATAAATGATTCAAATTTATTTTCTTCTTTTTCATTTTGTTGGAAATAACAATGTGTTTGAATCTGTTAGGGGATGAAAGACATCGTACCCCATTCATGATCATAGCATCAATCGTAGTTTCACCATTCTCGTCTGGGCTTCCACCAGGACCAACTGTTCATACAGAAGGAAGTGTTATCAAATGGGCTCAAAGACTCAAAATACAACTATCTGTAAGGTAAATATAAATTTCATGGTTATCTATAGACTAAGTGTTATTTTATTTTTATTCTTTTTTTTTTTCTGTCATTAGGTATCAACATAGATGAAGTTTCGGTAATCACTGAGTCTCTAGATAATGTAAAATCATAATAATAATAACTAAAGTTGAATAATCTTATTCACCAAAATAACCAACCAATTATTGCATTTGGTGATTTACTAAAGATGCGGATTTTTTGCTCCCCATTGATCAGCTTCAAACCAAGTTAATCACTGTAGAATGTCATTTAAAATCAAACTTTGGATAACGGAACCAGAACATAACGAGAGAATGATCTAAATATGAGTTGTAGAAAATACTTTTGGTAATGAATATTGTTAAAATGTTTAGTTTGCAACGAATACAAATGAAGTTAAATTGGTTTTCCAAATAATTACTTCTTTCAACCTTTCCTCTTGACATTCCAAAAGTGTGCACTTCTTTTGCAGGAGAGAAATAAATGTGGTTAATGGTTATTCACACTTTTGAGAATGACAATTTTTGTTTACAGATTGAAATTCCGGAATAGCTACAGTATATCTCGCTAAATCGGAACCTAAAGCAGCCTACAGCAGCATTTTCACATTCTAACATTGGGGAAACTAAGTGGCCTGACTATGAATTTCTTCAAATAATAAGTTCAAGCAGTTTTCCGAACTAATATGTTCGGTTAGAAGGGTCTTAGCCCCCGTGGTTCTTTATTGGTTACAATAGCAAGCATTATTCAACAAGAGAAACAGTATCATTTCCCAAGTCATATAGTTAGACAGAAGTTTTCCTGCATTTATCAACATTTACATAAAGTACACATAACACTTGCTAACTCATCTACGAATTACTGCAGATGCAAGTATAACCAATACTAATTTAGCAGAAATATCCAAAGTTTGTGCAATTTATTGAAAAATTACAAGAAAAAAAAAGGCACACATAAGGTATCCAAATAGCAACCTGTCCCGTCACATCTCAAATCCTCACAAGCCGAGCAACCTTCAACAACTGCATCAATGGCAGAAAGCCCACCATCAACAGCTCTCCATGCTGCTCTAACAGCTTCTACAAAAGGCCACGTACTCACAACTAAGGGGAATTTTTTGCCACTTTTATTCTCATTTGCCACAGCCTAATTCAACAAAATGTCGTCTGAGTGTCAAATGAATCAAACATACCCAAAGATAATTGAAAAAAAAAAAGAAAAAAAAAAAAACAGTAATCAAACAACGAATCTTGATCCAGTTTTCATCCTTCAATTTTTGTGCTCAATACCAAGAAAAGAATTTAACACAGCAAACCTAAAAAAAGAATAATTTTGTTACCGTGTAGAACAAAGTGAAGAGGAAGAAAACAGCGAGTCCGTGGGAGTTGTTGTTGGGCATAATAATTAATAACTGAGCTTATCTTTCTCTTCAGGCTCTGCAGTGCACACTAAGCAACCATACTGCGATTTGGGATCGTTGGATTTCATACCACTGGAAATAATGTCATGAAAATTTGCAAATATTTATTATCGCAAGAATTTGTCGAGTTAATTTATTTTTATTTGTTATATACAGTGGCAATAAATTTCGTGAATTGCCCGTTACTACTATTTACCACCATTTTGGACCAAAATGTTTTTCTCATACTTTCAGACAAGTACAGTTCTCATACTTACTTTCAACTGAGCCCGTGTGATGCACGTGGTGCACAATTTTAAAATCATTTATCAATTCTTATAATTATATAAATGAATAAAAAAAAATGTACGGGTTATATATAGTACGTGACCTGTAATAGGCCAAAGTGTGAACACAGGTGATGCACGGGGTGCACAATTTTAAGGTCATTTATTAGTACAAAGCCCGTGCAATGCACGGGGTGCATAATTTTCTAGTATGTGTAATAAAAATACATACCGTATGCACGGGACAGAAGCACTAAATGAGTCATTTCTACAGAGCTTGCCCGTTAAGTAGCTCCTGAACACGGGTGCACAATTTGTAGTACGTACCATAAAATCAGAACAGATTTCCATAAAATTAGATAATAAATTAGATAATAAATAAAACCTTTTTATTTTAGTAAAGATTTTACGTACTTTTTTTTTACTTATCGGATGTTATGAGTTTTTTTTTTTTTGTTAAACCGATTTTATGTAATATAATACAAATACAATTAGTGGATTGAAAATCAGAACAGATTTTCATACAATTAGATAATAAAAAGGAATTAAATAAGGAAAAGAAAGAATTAGATAAGAAAAATAAGGAATTAGATAAAGAATTTTAAATCTGACTTTTTTTTTGATAGATAGACTTTACGTACAAATTTTGACTTCACTGATTTTATGGGATTTATTTTGACAAAATCGATGTTAATATGGAATAAGACAAATAAATAAAGTCTTTTTATTCTAGTAAAGATTTTACGTCTTTTTTTTTTGACTTGTCAGATGTTATGAGATTTTTTTTCTTAAACTGATTTTATGGGATATAAGACAAATAAATAAAATAATTAAATAAAATTCTGGATAGAAATAGCAATGCATTAATTACGTTGACTTTTCAATATACTAAATTTGGTAAATAGGATACCTTATTAATAAGTATAGATACAAATAAATAACATGCCATAATTTTAAAGAATAATTAATGTATTTTAATTTATTATCTAGCCATCAGTAATATCATTTAATGATGTGATCATTATCTATTAAATGATAAATAAAATATTAATTTAAAAAATATTTGTTTTTTTTTTATACTCGAATAAAAATTAAAAAATACTATCGACAAATATGAATTATAATATATATCAGTAACATCATTGCAAAAGTTAATAAAATTATTTAAGGAAAGAATCTTTTTGATCATATTTGAATAGGAAATATATATATATGCAAGCAATTAATGCATATAGTAAAAAATTTCTAAATAAAGTATGCATTAAATGTGAGTTGACTTTTCTTGCTACTATTTTTGGTAACTAGCATGGCTTTTAATATAAGTATAGATTTTTCAAAACAATTCACGCTCTCTCTTTTTCGTCGCGGCCTTGGCGCCCCGAATCATTTTTTTCCAATGATACAAATAACTCTAATAAAAACCGACAAAAGCCGAGAAAACAGTCTGGTACAATTCGAACACAAGCCCAAAGGTCAAAGCACACTGAGAGGCACACCACACGGTGGCCTAGAATACAAGCACAAAGACGATTGGCAGTAGACATAAAACCTGAGACCCCAATCATACAAACCCCAACACAACGAGAACCCAAACCAAACACCTAACAAACACAAAAACACAGCCTGACTACACTGCAAGAGAAAACCAACTAAACCAAAAACAAGTTAACCAAACTAACAGCAGCAACAAAGTTTTTTTTTTTAAAAAAAAAAAGAAGAGAGAGAGCGAAAAGAAACTAAGCTACTGAAACTGAAACAAACTACTGCCATTCCTGTCATGCTCCCTTAGCTGTGATAATCTCAGGTTGTTTCTGCCCTTGGAACAGCCACAAGTTGCGAGACCGCCACAGCCACCACAATATATACGTAGTGAGTTGGATGCGTGCTTTAAAGTGAATGATCGGTCTGTAGAGCAAATGTGCTACCACCATTGCCTAAAACTCCCTGCTTCATCTAAGACTCCATCCCACTCAACAGGTGACAATTTCCATACAAGCTTGGCTCTTCTACAATGAAGTGGCAGATGTTCAACAGTTTTCTCACCTTCCCCACACATTGGGCAAACCACATCCACAGTAATGCCTCTGGAAATCAAGTTAACACTAACTGGAAGAATACCATTTACACATTTCCACATAAAATGCTTCACTTTCCCTTTGACCTTCATTTGCCAACTTCTATTTCTAATGAGAAGGTCTTTCTGACCTTATGAGCTTCCCTAGGCAATATCCATCTTTCAGATTTTGTTTTGCATCAGATGAGAGTAAGTGCTTTTGACAGAATACACATGTCTTCTCCAGTTGCCACTGCCAATGATCCTCTTTAGTAGGGTTCAGAGTATTGATTTGGAAAATAGCCTTGCTATCTTGTTCTGAGAATATCTGCTGGACCAGCTCTTTGTTCCATCTAGTACCTCCATTGCTCAACAGCTCCCAAACCCACTCTACAGATACATTCTCTGCCTCCCTGATTGCTGGTTTGAACATCTTCCCATCAGGGATCCAGCCTATATCGCTGATCTTAGTGAGTTCACCATTGCCAATGATTTTCCTCATGCCTTTAGCAAAAACATGAATGCTGCTCACCCATGAGTTCCACAACCAGGATCCAGATGCCTTCTTCTTGCATTCAATAAAAGAGGATGCAGGAAAGTACTTTGATTTAAGGATCTGACTATCCAACAACTGTGGTTGGCTTGTGATTCTCCACAGTTGTTTGATTATCAGTGCCTCATTAAACAGTTGAATATCCGTGAAACCTAAACCCCCATTCTGCTTTGGTTGAGTGACAGTGTTCCATTGTTTCCAATGAATACCTCTACCCATATCTGTGCTTTTACTCCACCAGAAAGCAGCAATAAGTTGGGAAAACTGTTTACATATTCCTACTGGCAATATGAAACAGATCATAGTAAGAACATGCAAACAATTTAACACAGCCTTAATTAAAATTTCCTTCCCAGCAGTAGAAAGCAATTTGTTCTTCCAATTGACTAATTTGTTCCTCACAGCCTGCAAAATGAACTCAAAAGCTTCTGCTTTGGACATACCAATACCCAGGGGTAACCCCAGATGTTTGTCCTATTTTTGTTGCATTTTCTGGTGTTATTTTTCCTTTATTTTTCCCCCATTTTAGGTCGTTTCGTTAGTTTTTAGTCCGTTTTGTCGTTTATTGTGTGTTTTGCTCTATTTCGTTTTCTTTGAGTTTTCCGTATATTTTTCTGATTTTTCTTTATTTATGGTGTGTAGGTCGAAAGTCTCGGGAAGACTGGATTTCAGGCGAAAGTTGATTGTGCAAGCATAATTATATAGAGCGTCTCGTTGACATTGCACTGGAAAAAATGGATCTCGATTCAGAGTTCAGATGAACCCATACGAGCCCAAAATGTGAAGTGGTGCGAGCTGCCCACCAGCCTGCCCAGGCCCCGCGCCGCGCCAGTGCCACGACACAGACAGAGGAGCAGATATTGTGCACCGCGCCGCGGCGCCCAGCACGGTGCGACAACAGGCCCCCCTTGCACTCGCGACTCCCAACACGACGCGGCACCAGACGTGATGCCCTCCACAGCACGAAACAACAGCTTCTCGCGCGCGCGGCACTTCATCACGGCACGGCACCTACGTCCAGCACTACCCTTCACTGCGTGGCACCTCCAGCACGCCGCGGCACACCCTCCCAGAACGACACAAGACACCTGCACGGCACGACACAGCTCCACTTCACGGCGCGAGACTCTCACCCACTGCGCGACAGATCCTTGCTTCACGTCCACGACTGATATTTAATGCCCGTGACCCTGTTCCATATAAATATCGTAACGGGACTTCAATTAAACACATCTCTCGACCGGGTGAAAGCCCTAGGTCCCGAGAAAACACAAAATCTCCTCCTCTCCCCTTCTTTCTTCTTCTTCTTTGATCTTTTTCTTCGCTTAATCTTTATTTTCCATTTTTCATCTAGAATTTGTTCTTTCTTTTGGGAATAAGCTTGTAATTCATATTCAACTCGTGGATTTGAGATTAATGGTAATTTTCTTTTCTCTTCTGTTTAATTCATGAATAATGATTGAATTGGGAGAATAGATTATATTTGTTGAATTTGATTTACGTAGCTGATTCTGATTTCTAGGAATAGGGGATAATTGTTCTTGCTTAACGTGCATTTGCCGGGCTTTGATTTGTTCAAGCTTATGTGAGTTGAATAGATTAAGAATTGATGAATTTGTCTTGATTGATTGATATAATCGAAGAGTGACACTTCAATCTTGCAATTGGAAACGATTGAATGTTAATTTGTCGAGTTAGGATTTGTTGATTCTACATGATTAGTTGATTAATACTCTTCTAATTGAATTAGCGACTTTTAGAACCGAAATGGGAGCAGTCGTAGACCTAAGCTCGCATGAGGTAGATGATTTCGTAACTGAATAGTCTATATGTTTTGGATTGAAATACGTGCTCGTCGGTGACCCGTCCCTTGTTACGAAAAGTTATTGGGATTGGGATAATTGGCGTGTATTGTATGCTCGAGCTTGCTCGTCTATGTTCAATGCCTTGTTATGAAGATTTATTTGGAGAGAACCGCTAGATGTTTAAGTGAGAGCGTCAATCTGGAATAGGACGATTAATGTCCCGGTATACAAATAGAACTTGAATTGATTATCCCCTACTCTCTAGCTTCTCCATCTTTGTTTCATTCATATTTTTAGGTAGATTATTTGTTTTTATATTATTTCTTAGTTGGTAACTATTCCTCCCATATTTGGTTAGAATGTTTAGGATTTATTTTGCTTTTATGTGCTATCAATATCAAAGCTAAATTCTGAACCGCCTTCCTCGTGAGATCGACCCGGGGAACGAATCTTTCGATTCGATACTCGGTAAAAAATAACAATTTGTTTTACAACAAATTTGGCGCCGTTGCCGGGAAGGCAAGTAGGATATTTGGTCTTGGTATTGATTTTATTTTCTGTGTTTCTCTTTATTTTGTATTTTTCGAGTGTTTGTTCTTCCTTTTGTGCTTCTTTGTTTTCTTTTTGTCTATTTTGCTTTTGTTTCCTTTGTTTTCTCTTTTTCGTGGCTTCGCGTGATTTTTCTGCTTTGGTGTACAGGTATCATGAGCTACAACCGTACTTTTCCCTATTTGCACACCCAATCGTGGGTTAACGAGCCGAGCTATTCCACCGGGCATCACTACCAGCCATATTCATACCCTTCCGAGCAGTATTGGGACCCCTTCCCGGTTGAGCAATATTATGAGTCCCACGAAGTCAACGAGAAGCTCGACCGTATCTATGCTTTCGCATCATCCAGGTTAGCTAAGGAAGAAGAAACCACAGCCCGGTGTGCCATTCTGAACCAGCCACCTCCATTCTACGATTCCTGGGACTATGGCCAGACTTGGTCACATCCCTACGAGCAGTGATGTATATATTTTTTACCGGAGTAGAATCGAATGATTCGAACACCAAGTCGTATCTCAAGGAAGGTCAGCCGGAATAAATTGCACGATTATTCAAACACAAGAAATAAGAAACAAGTCCTAAACACTCTAATTCAAATTGTTGGATTTTGATTATCAACTACGAATTCTAAATTTTAAACCAAATGAACTATCAATTCCAAACGAAATTCAAATGAGGTTGGGGGAAGTTAGGGAATCGGAGATACTCGTTTATGGTCCTAACACAATTAATAAGTGCTTAACTGCTCGGTTAAGAGATCAAATAACATACTCGCTTAGAGGTTCATTCTCAATAACTGTTCGTAACAAGAGAACAAACGTAAACAATTCATTATCTAAACAATCAACACATAGGCAATACATCAATGAACAAGCCTATTCTAGACGATCCATGTTCAACCAATTTCTCCCCTTTCGGTTCTACAAATTGATTAATTAGATTAGAATGATGATCAAGCATCTAGCCCTAGAATAAGAACAACTCGAATAGATTGAACGGTAAGCAATCATTCATGAAACACAATCGAACCAACACGAATATCTCTTATCCCCAACAAACGATTTAGCTACTCATAGTAATTTGAACACAAAAATTCATAACAATCCAAGCACAAAACATCATAACAAAACCAGAAAAAGTGCTTACGATTAATTAAGAGATCCAAATGTCGAAAACGATGAGCAATCCAAATCCCAAAAGAAATATCTTAAGATTTTTCACCTTACAAGATTTAATCTAAGTGAAAGAAAAGAAAAGAAGAGAGAAAAAAATATGTGTTTGTCGATAGAGAATTCAAAATAACAAAGTGCGGAATCCTTTTTTATGCCCTAGGATCGATATCCTTTTATTCCGATTAAAAAAACACGTAAAATAACGGTTTAGGGTTTTGGGCTTCCCGGCGTCGCGGCGCGGCAGATGGAGTCTCGCGACATGGACACGGCGTGGCAGATGGATTCGCCGCGGCGCGACGCCTGGAGGCTCACGATTCTGCTGTCGATCTTGCGGTGCTGGCAGGGCGTGGTGTGGGAGTTTCGCCGCGGCACAACGCCTGCCGCGGCGCGGAGCCAGAAAAGGGTCCCTCTGTCCAAAACGTGGTGCTGCCGCAGCGCGGGGCTTGGGATCTGCCGCGGCGCGGTGTCTGCATTCTGAGGTTCTATCCATGACGGGGCATCCTCGCGGCGCGACGGCTGGAAAGGCACGCTGCTCGGTTACTCCTCCTCCAAACGTGCGATGAAAATTCGAAACCTACACACCACCAAAGAAGAGAAAAACATGCAAAAACAAGCAAAACAACAGAAAATATCAAAAAAGAGAAATAAACGACATGAACGACTGGTGGACCAAAAGAACTAAAAAGATACTAAAAACGGGGGTAAAAACCAACAAATAAGCATAGAAAAAGATAATAAAAATAGGACAAACACTCCCCCACACTAAAACCTTTTGTTGATATCATTTTCTGCAAGTCGGGTTAAGCGACACTAATCCGTTGATCGAGACCAATATGATGATGATTAGAGCTCATACAAGCACGAGACACTTCTACCAACTTCAAGATGATTACACAATGAAAGATTCAGCAGAAACCGACATCCTTACTAAGTTGACCGATATCACATGTCGGTCAACACATGTCGGTCAACACATGTCGGTTACTACATGTCAGCCACGACGTACCGGTTATAACTAGGTGGACCGATATCTATAGCATGCCAGCTCAGCATGGTAAGGCGGTGACAACTCAGCATAATTCATCATTACATTTATCCAAGTGGCAAGCTATCCAAGAGAAACCACCAAGGACCGCCTTTGACCTTTCAAATGTAATGATTATTGTATAGATAATTATGGTATGTAAATATAAAAGGGAAACGGAGAATTTCCCAAACGGACAAGAATACCACACGGCTACTAATTACATTCCCAGAAATAAGATACAGGCTTTCTATCGTTAAATATTTAGATTTACTTAAAATACCCCCCAAATTGATTGTTGTTAATTTCCTTGTAACAACAGTTTGGCGCTAGAAGAAGGGCCGCGTTTGAAACCTTTGCGTCATATTTCACTTGCTGTTTAAACCATTTGCACACTCAGAATCACCATGTCACAGTCTGGGCGAGACCATGCTCCTCACCCTGGACAGAGCCATTCCACTAATCATTCCCCGCGGCGTACAACGCCACCACCTCCGGCCGCGAATGTCACCAGCTTCCTTCAAAACCCGGAGTTCATACAGGGTTTGTCTTCATTAATAGCTCGGGCCATGCCTAGAAACTCAAGCACGATGCCCTTGGCTACCAACCCAACGGAGCATCCCAGTCATACTCATCATGATCATGAAACACATGCTGCGACGTCACATGCTACGTCCCAACCTCATCATACCTCTCCACGTCAAGAAGAACCAGTTCATGTGATTGTGAATCCCGTAACGAACAATCAAGCCCAAGACCAGCCTCCTGTGCAGGAGATGACGGCTGAGAGTCATTCTGCTCATCATCAAAGAGTTTCCCCACGTCCTAGGCCCATCTCATCAGCACCTCACGTTCGCGAGGATTTACGACGCCAAATTGAGCGCAATCGTCTTTCAAGACACAGTGCGGAGGAAATTGAGACCCTCCGCAAACGTTTGGCCGAACTTGAAATGCGACAGAAGTCACAAGAAGATTCGCCCCGACATGTCGCGACGTCGGGAAACGTTGTTGTTGAGGCAGATTCTCCGTTAGCCCCTGAGCTTACCGCGGAGCCACTCCCTGTCAAAGTAAAGATTCCGCAAATCGGTATGTACGATGGGACGTCGGATCCAGACGCTCATTTAGGTCATTACACATCTTGGATGGATTTACATGGAGCTTCAGATGCTCTGAGGTGTCGAATGTTCTCGCTTACACTGGGGCCACGAGCCCAGAAATGGTATTACACTCTTCCACCTCATTCGATATGGAAATGGCAGCAGCTACGTGCAGCTTTCCGGTCACATTTCATCGGTGCTCAGATTTGCCTTATTCCAAAAGAATCTATTACTAACATTGTGCAAAAAGACGACGAGACCGTCAAAGATTATGTGGCCCGATTTAATGACCGGATTCAGAATATGGAGCCATGTCATCCTGAAACTCTATTAGTAACCGCCATTGCTGGATTGAGGCCCAATTCGATGTTTCGTTGGACCTTATGTCAAAATAAGCCTGCAACGTTTCAGGAGTTCCTCGTACAAGCTCAACAGTTCATCATTGCCGAAGAATCCATGTCGGTCCCCAGTTTCGACTTTTCGGTAAAAGAAAGTAAGGGTGAACCGGATGCTAAGAAGAAAAGCAAAAAGAACTTTGGGAAGTCCCAATTCCGGAACTCCTCTAGGGGGTATGAAAATACCCCAGAGTCCCGGGCTGCTCGCGATCAATATTCGGACAATGTCAGGACAGGTTACCATGCTGTTTATTCTGCTGGAGCGGCCACCATATATGAAGAGCTGAAAGGGAAGGGGATTATTCCAGACCCCAGGCCAGTGAGAACTCCTGAAGATAAGTTGGATAAAACTCGCTACTGCGCGTACCACAAATCTCCAGGGCACAATACCGATGAGTGCCTCGGTCTCTTATCGGCACTCTTACGTTTAATCGGCCAACCTCAGCTTCAAAAGTTCCGAAATTTTGATAATCGCCGGAAAGGAAGACTTTTGGATTTTTCAGATGAAGAAGATGAAGATAACCGATCTGCCAGCCAGAAGAAAGCTCGTGTCAATGATAAAGAAGTTTTTACGTTTTCCATTCATGTCGGGACGTCAACCGACAACCACAGGAAACCTAAGGTACATGATTCTGCAGATTTTCTACGTAGCATACCCCGGGTTAACTCCAATAACAAACAGTCGGATATGTCCCGACGAAAAATTAAAGCTTATGCTCGGGAAGCTCAAAACGCCGAGAACCGAGTCATGAACGTCGATCTTAGGGATACGATCAATAAACGGAATTGCCCCATCACATTCAGTATTGAAGACGCTAATTTGTTTGCTCATCCTCATTCTGATGCTCTCGTTATAACTGCCCCAATTGGCGGAATCCCTGTTCATCGAATCCTAGTCGATACAGGAGCGTATTCGAGTATCTTAATGCTCCGAACCTTCAAGAAGTTGGGTTTGGACCCAGCAGATATTAGGCCATGTAATGATCAGATTCAAGGTTTCAATGGGAGCGTCTCTTGCCCTGTTGGCGAAATATTGCTCCCTATTCGATTTGGAGGCTTTGGGCCGAAGTCCAAGATTATCATGGAAACCTTCAAAGTTTTGGATGTTCACAATGAATATAATGCTGTAATTGGACGAACCGCACTTTATAAACTTCGCGCTGCCGTCTCGATTTTTCATTATGCCTTGAAGTTTCCCACCATTGAAGGAGAGGGCGTTCATTATGGAGACCAACGAGAAGCCCGGAGTCTAACGCTGCTCTCAGCCACGCCTGACTTTCATATGATTGAAGAACGAGAAGTTAACACCTTTGTTGAGCCAAGTGATCCAACCCCTCGCACCAAGCAAGTTGATCAGTTCACCTCGGATACCGACATGCCTCAGGTACCGACATCCGATACCGACATCCCCGCGACGTCGGTCTCGTCTGAGATATCAACAGAAGTCCTAGGCCAGAAACAATCTCCCCATGAAAACGACACAGAGGAACACGCAGATATAGACCCGAGGATGCAGTTCAAAGACGGGAGTCATCATATTCGAGCGGAACCTGTTGAAGATATTGAGATCATTTACGTGGACGGGTCAGAACAACAGAAGTCGTTGCGTATTGGGGCCAACCTACAGGAACCCCTTCGATCGAGTTTGATTCGATTCCTCCAGTCAAACACTGATGTATTCGCATGGAAACATGAAGACATGAAAGGGATCGACCCACAGAAGGCTTGTCATCGTCTCAATTTAGACAAAACTGTCAAACCAGTTATTCAGAAACGTCGGAAATTTGGTCCTGATCGCCAAAAGGCTCTTGAAGAAGAGGTGAATAAGCTCATTGATAATAAGTTTGTTAAAGAAGCCAAGTATCCGACATGGATATCGAACCCTGTTCTGGTTAAGAAAGCGACCGGCCTTTGGCGCCTCTGTATAGATTTCTCTGACTTGAATCAAGCCTGCCCGAAAGATAGCTATCCCATTCCGCACATCGATTATATGGTGGACGCTACGTCGGGGCATCAACTCATGAGTTTTTTGGATGCCTATTCAGGCTACAATCAGATTCCCATGCATCCAGACGATGCTGAACATACTTCATTCTATTCAGCCCGTGGCCTCTATTGCTACGTTATGATGACTTTTTGATTGAAAAATGCCGGGGCCACATATCAGAGATTGGTCAATAAGATGTTTGCTCGTTTAATCGGTCATACCATGGAAGTCTATGTAGATGACATGTTGGTGAAGTCGGAACAGGCCGCCGACCATATTGCTCATCTCTCTGAGGTCTTTGATATACTCCGAGAATATTCCATGGTACTTAACCCTAAAAAATGCACTTTCGGAGTTGGGTCAGGAAAGTTTCTAGGGTACATGGTGAGCCAAAGAGGGATCGAAGCCAATCCTGCTAAGATTCAAGCCATACTTGACCTAGCTCCCCCGACATCTCTCAAAGCCGTCCAAGCCTTAACTGGTCGGCTGGCGGCCCTTAATCGGTTCATTTCGAAATCTACGGACCATTGTAAATCATTCTTTGACGCTATCAAGAAGACGAAGCCGTTTGAATGGACCACGGAATGTCAAAATGCTTTTGACAACATTAAACAGGTTCTTTTGCAGTTACCGACCTTACAAAAACCACTTCCCGACGAGCCCCTCTATTTGTATCTTGGTGTAAGTGATGTTGCCGTCAGTGCTGTCCTTATACGTCAAGACGGACTTCAGCAGTTTCCAGTGTATTATGTTAGCAAGGCCCTGCATGACGCGGAGTTACGATACCCGCATATGGAGAAGCTCGCCTACGCTCTGATCATTGCTGCACGGAAATTGCGCCCATATTTTTTGGAGCACTCAATTGTTGTGTTCACGGCATATCCCCTCCGACAAATCCTTCATCGACCTGACACGTCGGGAAGAATGATCAAATGGGCCGTTGAGTTGGGACAGTTCGATATACAATATCGGCCACGAACCGCTATTAAGGCCCAAGTATTGTCTGATTTCATCGCTGAATTTACCCCCGCTATTGATTCATCCATTAAAGATCCGACGTGGACTCTCTACATAGATGGATCGTCTACTGCTATACGAGCCGGGGCGGGGATCGTCTTGGTTAGTCCCGATCAACAAGTATTTTGTTACTCTGTGGCATTCACTTTTCCAGCCACCAATAACGAAGCCGAGTACGAGGCCCTCTTATCAGGATTGCACTTTGCCGACTCCATGAATGTTTCCTCTCTGCGGATATTTTCCGACTCCCAATTACTAGTCAGTCACATCAACGGCACTTACGAAGTAAAGGAACCACGGCTGTTGCCCTATTTTGATCTTGTTAAAAAGAAGCTAACACGATTCAAAGTGACGCTGGAACACATATCTCGGTCGTCTAACATCCAGGCGGACGCTCTTTCACGACTGGCTTCATCAACCGACTTGGATAACGTTGAATTTGTACAAATCACTCAACAGGCGACCTCATCTACAGTCTCTACCGACGTCGCTATGGTTGACGCCACCTCAGTAACTCTAAATCCCACATGGATGGATCCCATCATCGATTATCTCCGGACCGGGGCCTTACCTGAAGACTTGAAAGAAGCTCGTGCTCTCCGTGTTCGTGCTGCTCATTATACCACCGATGACGGGACGTTATATAAACGCGGGTATTCAACCCCATTACTTAAATGTTTGTCAGAGGAAGATGCCCGGCGAATCTTGCAAGAAGTACATGAAGGAGTCTGCGGCACCCACCAAGGAGCTCGAGCTTTGTCTCATAAAATTCTCCGACAAGGCTACTATTGGCCTACCCTTCGGAAAGATGCCGCGGATTGGGTACGACGATGTCACAAATGCCAGATATTTGCTCCCAACGTCAATCAGCATCTTGAACTCCTCACATCAATATATAGTCCATGGCCATTCGCAAAATGGGGAATTGATTTAATTGGCCCGCTTCCGACAGCAAAAGGAGGAGTTCGGTTTGCTATATTAGCTGCAGATTACTTCACCAAGTGGGTTGAAGCTGAGCCCCTTACTACCATCACCGAGCAAAAAATGGTAGATTTCATTTGGAAATCAATCGTTTGTCGGTTTGGCGTCCCCAACTCCATTATAACCGACAACGGTCGTCAGTTTGAAAGTAAACGATTCGAAAGTTTCTGTGAAGATTACGGTATTAAACATTTCTTCTCGTCACCTTATCATCCACAAGCCAATGGACAAATAGAGGCCGTGAACAAGATCATCAAGAACGGCCTGAAAACTCGGCTTGAAGCTGCAAAAGGGTCATGGCCCGATGAATTGCCTTATGTCCTCTGGTCTTATCGAACGACGACGAGAAGTTCGACCGGAGAAACTCCGTTCTCGTTGGCTTATGGAGCTGAAGCTATGATACCGGTTGAACTTGCCTTTCCAACATATCGGGTCACTCACTTCTCCGAGGAAAGCAACTCAGCAAACTTGAGAGCCAGCCTCGATCTGCTCGAAGAATTACGTGCTGATGCTGAAGTCCGTAATGCTGCTTATAAACGACGTAGCGAAAAATATATAAACTCGAGGCTCAAACCACGTTCGTTTGTTAAAGGAGACCTCGTCCTAAAAAGAATCACTGGTGCTCATGTCGGCCCGTTACTACCAAAGTGGGAAGGACCCTTCAAAGTAAGTCGTCAGATCTCTCATGGTACTTTTCGACTCGAAACGTTGGACGGTGTTCCCCTTCAATATCCTTGGCATACAACATACTTGAAGAAGTATTACCAGTGAATCTGATGCCGAAAGTCCTATCCCCGACGTGTAAAAAAGTTTTTTGTCCTACTATTGTACGACAATCATGTTTTGTTATCAATAAAGTTTGTGTGACGAACCCCACTAATTTGTTCGATCACTCGGACCACTATAAATCGGTCCTCGCTGCCAAGGCTAAACGTGTTTCATACCCTGAAGATGGTATGACCTAGCCGAGTGCAGCAAAGCTGGATACTTCCAAGCCCTGAAGATGGTTTGGGGAGGCTTATGCTCAACGATACCGAATCCCAGCGATGATTTGGTGAGCTTACAATAATTATTTCCAGAAAAAAGCAAATCTTTTATGATTTGTTCGATTAAGAAGTTTACAGATGTCGGATAAGTTGTAAATTGCTTCCGATAATTGACAAGTTTAATGTCGGAAGCACTATAAGATTACACCGACGTCAGTAATTCGTATAAATTATTATTGATATTGTGTCGGAAATTTCAAATTTAACAAATGATTACTTATCTTTACCGACATAATAAATCAATAAAACAAACATCTCATTCATAAAACATTCATATCGCATTACAAGATCAAATAACAGTACGTTCTCAAAGAAAAAATAAACAACAAAAAAAACATAAAGACGTCAGTCTTCTTTAGTCCCCGATGTCGACGCTTTTCCGGCATCAGAGAGT